TTGAGGTGGAAAATAAACCTTTGAGCTAGAGAACAAAAAAATCGTTTTTATTCTCTGTAGCTAACTACGAACTATAGCTAGATTTCAACATAATCATAGGAACATTTGACATGAAAACAAAACCTATGAGCTAGAAAATAGAATTTTTTTTTCAATTGACATATTTGATTACAAACTATAGCTAGATTTCAATGTATTTATACGAACATTTGACATGAAAAATAAACCTTTGAGCTAGAGAATAAAAGAATTCTTTTTAATCTCGATAATTAACTACGAACCATAGATAGATTTCAATGTAGTTTCACGAACTTATGATATGAAAAACAAACATTTGAGCCAGAAAATAAAATTTTGTTCAATTTATCTGTTGAATTACTAACTATTAATAAACTCAAACGTATTTCTACTAACATTTGAGTTGAAAAATAAATCTTTGAGCTCAAAAACAAAAATTTTCTTTTCCATGTATTCAGCTTATTACAAACTATAGTTAGATTTCAATATATCTTCACGAACATTTGACGTGAAAAACAAACCTTTGACATAGAGAATAGAATTTTTCTTTTTCTAATTGGTGAAATTAATTACAAACTATAGTTAGATTTCAATGTATCTTCACGAACATTTGAGATGAAAAATAAACCTGTGGCATGGAACATAGAAATAAAAGTTGTGATCATTGGATTTATCTAACTTAATCATATAATTTACTTGAAAGAAAAAGAAGAATTTGTAAATAAATGTTTACAACGACAGTAAATCACACGGCAGTAAATCACACGGCAGTAAATCCTGTAATCCTTATTTGAGACTGTTTTTCAAAGATTATCTCACTATTCTTGAATAAAAGCTGAGATGAAATTTGTAAGATCATATTTAAAAAGTGCATAATATACTGGTCTTAATCCATAGCTTTTGAATTCTTGGAAATACTTTCAAGAGAATCAAAAATAAACAAATATTTTATCGCAAAACTTTCGGCTCAACTGTTAGAAGTACCCTTTTATCTGTTTTCATCAAACTCAATAACGATACCGTATACTATAGGTTATACTACTTAATCCGAAGATTACACTCGAATTTGTGCATAGTATCTTCATTGAGAATAATGGGAGAACGTTGGTATCATTTGCCTATTGCCTTGTGTTTCTATTTACCGTTTCAACTGTTTTATCGCTTATTTTGCATGATATGTGCGTTGATTTATTTTCTACTATTCTGCCTTCGTCAACCAATAAGTTCATGTTTTCGAACACGGTATGCTAAAAATGCTTTACCTACACTGATTACTATACGATGTTCTCATTATTGTGAAAAAGCACGATGGGTACTCGACTTTCTACAATATGTAACGTCTCAGAAATCCACTCACGAACAACTGAAACAGATGGAGAATGATTCGTATCGGTATTTAGAACGGGTTTGCGTTTGATTCTTACTCATATGGTCTCATCGCTGTGGCACACTAATGGGTTTTCATCGAGTACACCGGTGTACATAACGCGAGATAAACATGTACTAACAGATTCTTCTGATATCATACAGTACGCTAGTGACGAATTATGTAAACTAGGACAACCAACACTTTATCCAATTGCTGACGTAGAAGAATTAGAAAATTATTTTAATCAAATACTTGGTGTACATGTACGTCGCTAGGGTTATTGGCTGATGTTTCAATCAGATGACATGGAGGATGAATTAAGAAACTGCTGGTTACGCGATACAGTTGGATTCGAAAAATTGATTCAACAACATTTTTTTGGTCCAATAAAAGCATTAGCAACAAAAAGGAATGAATATTCATGTACAGCCTAATCTAGTTTCAAAACAACATATTGGTCAAGTCTTTGAGAAAATAAACCAGAAGTTAGAAGAATATAAGGGGATCGTATCTTTTCAAAACGACTTATCCGACAGCAGCCGATCTTACTTTTGCTGCTCTAGCATATCCGATGATTTTTTCTTTACAATGTGATGATCTGATTATTAAGTATAACCCAAATATTATGAGTCGTCAAATGTACGAGCAAGCTACGGCTTATCGTGAACAACGAGCAGGGAAACTCGCATTACAAATGTAGGAACAAGGCAGAATTGTTAATCGAATCAAGCCAAATCATACTTGAAACTTTAAGATATCCTTATCAATCCTGTTCTTCATGATATGCCCATTTTTCTTTTTTCATGCGTTTGACAAAGTATTACGTGATTTGACATATATATTTTCATTATGATTATTTATATTAGCCATTTTCTAGATTGTACGTTCCATATAAATACAGTAAATCGGTTCATACTGGTTTAGAGATGTGAGGGAGCTAAGCTTTTTTTAATCCTCGTTATTGAACTGGATAAGATGGTGATTTGTCATATAAAGAAGAATTATTGAGTTTGCACATTATTGGTGTGTCTGGCAGTGCGAATTAATTTGATTGTGTTGATTCATTTGGATTTGAAGTAATTGCTGTACAAATTTTATTTTATTATCTGCATTGATAGCTGGAAGTCAGCAAAACTTTTTCGAAGCAGTACTATTCATCGACCATATACAATCAGACTTAAAAGAATTTACGTCTTTACGTTTCATAAATTAACATAATTGTTTATGACAGTTATAAGAAAATGTATAGCAAAGCTATTTCATACGAATTGTGTGATGTATGGAATGAAAGTCTTGTATCGTGCAACATAGCAACTAAATGGGTGCAACACTTCAAACAGGGTAGAACCTCTGTAGAAGATGATCCAAGCATTGACTGATCAGTTACCAAAGTCATCAGCAAAACATATTAAAGCGATTCGCGCGTAAATACAGGTAAATTTTTGTTCTCAAAGAAAATTAAGCTATTGTTTGGTAACAAAAAAAAATCGCACTTTTCTTTTCGAAACTTATTCGAATTCGTATCATTATTATGATCATAAGATCGTTCAGTGTCTTTTGTTATTACTTTTCAGTTATTTATTGACATTTTTGCAAACGATCGAATCATGAGTGTCTTTCTTCAAAGAAGATTGTTTTATAAGTAGTCGTTTTTATTCTTTCCATCAGAATATATCATTATTAGTGTTCATGAATCTAGGATGAAAGATTTGATTGATCTTATCGTCATAATAACGATAGGAATTCTAGTTAGTTTCGAAAAGAAAAGTATTATTTTTTCTGTAGTGTTGGTGGACTCGGTCATTCAGAATAAAAACTTACTGATCTCCTCTCTAAAATAAAAAAAGACTTGTGGTTAAGCTTGCTCAATGACGGAGTTATATGCATTTATTAAGTGATCATGACTTTTGGGATAGGCAGTATTTATTTTTATTGGATGGAATAGGTATATGTTGAAATGTGCTATCCAGTGATACTATGCTTTTTGGAATCTGACATTGAGTGTTAGTATTTAGTAATTTGTACTGTGTCTTGTCAAGTACAAACCAGATAGAAATAAGACTAACAATATGGTTACTTATACATACAAAAGCTGCCACATTGTACAGTGTTTGTAAATAAAAAAAACCAGTAAAATTCAGATATTTCTCAGACGGCAATCAGCAACTATCATTTGTATCACTGATGGAATTAAATATGAAGAAAAGAAAAATAATTGATAGCACTCAAGATTGGATCTGAAAACATGCAAATCTTTACTTGATAAATTAGAAACGTTTTCTTCTTGGTAAAAAATGTTGTATAAAATAGGCCTTTGATAGACATCGATATATGTTTTCTTAGAATAAGCGTTTGGAGATTTAAACGGGTTGTGCTAATCGTACTCTTTGTTACTGTTTGTCTCTTTTGATAGAATGAGATTCACGTTATCTTTCATAAGATGATGATTTAACTTGAAGCATTTCAATGATAGACATGTGTTGAATGCAGTTCACTTTTCTCTTATCTACATGTAAGATAACAAACAATGCCGTTCTTTCTTATTTTTACTTGTTATGCACTCATCTTCTGCTTATTTCTATTGAGTGATCATTATTTTTCTCCTTATTATGTCTATTGTTCATCCAAGCAACTATTACCATCGACAAACTGATGATTACCACAAATTGTTCTTCTACATCTTGCATGTCTTTTGGTATGGATTTTAGGCGCTATTTTTTTGCATGTCTTTAAGTCCCATTTCAATAACATTCTCATTTGATTGTTTTCTATGTACAAATATTATTTGATTTCATAATGAAATGGAATGCCATCATTGCACCATTTATTATACCTCGTTATCTCTATATTTATTCTGTTGTACCATTTTGTTGATTCATGGCTAATTGGACATGTATTGTAGCACAAATTGAATCTAAACTTCATCCATGTTCCGATCATCGGTCATTTCTTGTTCGTGTTAGTAAATCGATGCGAATTAGATTTGTGGTTTTGGGTATAGCAGCAGTTATCAAACACAACTTATTTAAATAAATAAGTTTTGCAGGTTTTCTTTAACAATTCATGGTTCTTACAGCAGTGTCACATATCCAAGATTTTGGAGATGCTACCACGTCTCCCGCGGGAGATGCCGTATCTCGCTCGAGAGATGCGGTTGTGGGTGTGGGGGATGCGCATCTCTAAAGGAGATCTTACACCTCCAGTGGTGAATGACCATATCTCTCGAGTGTGGGTGTCGCGTCGCCCGCTGGAGACACGGCCTCTCCCACGGGAGATGTGGTGGCATCTCCAAAATCTTGGATATGTGACACTACTCAAGCAGAAAAAATCAAATTGAAAATATTGTGAATGTACGACTTTACGAAACTCTTTGACATTAGCTAACGAAGCAAAAATTTTCTCTGATGAATTATGACTTGTGTTGTTCTGAGAGAAACAATGTAAAATCTTGAATCGATTCTCAAATAGCTCTTAAACTACAATTTTCTAGAAAAAAACTGAATTTTAGTTTTTTCAATAGTAATTATTTTCATCACTTTCTGAATCATTGTGAAAATGACAGAAATCATCAAGCTTCCAAAGCAGACATAGTTACCTTGATAGTTATTTGTTACTAAGAAAATTTTTCTATAAGCGAGCTGGTTCGATATGGCAATTGAAAACCACCTCTTTGAGAGTTTACATCACAGGCAACATTTCTCATTATATCTTCAATATCTTGATTGGATTTTGCAATATATTTTAATAATTTTTCAATGAAAATACCATTTCTATCATTGTTAGTTTCTTCATGTTGAATTGTATCAACAAATCTATCAATTATCTTGTAGAATTGATTCAAATCGTAGTTCAATTCTAAAGTTATGTCGAAATCGATAGATCGAGGATTTGTATTTAAATCTTCCGCGTCATTAACACAATATTGTAATGGATCACGTCGATATTTATTGATACCAATGATTAAGGCACGATTTCGTCGATAAACAACAGACGATGCCATTAGATCTAAAAAGGTGCGAACAAATGTTGAGAGAAGAGAAATCTTTTTCTTTTCATGTATTTGATGAATTTTCAAGTTGACTTACTTTGTAATTATATAACTAATCAAATTCTTTGCGGACATTTTTCTGGAACTATTTTTTTTTACTATTCAATATGTATGTGTCTATAAAAAAAATGATCTCCTTTTTTATACATATATGATCCTTTAGAACTAGTTAACAAGAAAAGTAGTGAAAAGAATATGTCATGCAGTTTATACATTTTTTTTGTCATGTGCGCAGATTTCTTTGTTTTTTTTTCGTTCGGACGATGTTGACTTGCTTCAAGAAAGTTTTTGTTGATGTTGTGTGGTGAAATTTCAAGATAATGCTCAAAACAGTGAGACCCTTGCATTATACTTATTTGTTCTGTTCTCTCTGTGATTTTTGTTACTTGTCGTCGAGAAGTAACAGAAAGAAAGAAAAACACTTATATTTTCTTAGTGACTAATAGCGTTGGTTTTTTCCAATTCACAAAACACTTTATAAACTCGAAAAAAAAATATGTATTTAGATGTATTACAAATTTTCACATTGACTTTAACATTCAAATCATGTTGAGAGATTCTTCTACTGGTGACAATGAACAGATATTGGCTGCAGCATTTTCAGCAATATTGGGCAAAGAAATTCTACCTGAATCAAATATACCACAACAAACACAACAGCATATAAACAAAATTTCCATATTTGATCAACATCTAACATGTTTTGTTTATGGAAAAGTTGGCCAACAGGATACAAATAAAGACGAATCATTTATGACAATATACATCACAATTCTAGCAACGAAAACTAACTTTCCTGTTACAATTGAATGTGATGCTAGTGTCGATAAACTGAAACAAATAATTTATGAGAAAGAGGGTATATTACGTAATAAACAAAATTTAATTTATTGTGGACAAGAAATTGATGAAGGTCATTTATTAAGTGAATATGATATTCAAGAGTCTAGTGAAATAACTGTCGTACGTTTGAGAGCTATGAATTCAGATGATTTGCTAGTCTTAGATAAAGCTGCATTGGATCCCATGTATAATTATGATTTTACTAACATAAATGATAACGGAAAAAAATTTACTCGTGGTGGTATTGAATATCGTCGACCATGTGGATGGCAACGTTATGCAATTAAAGTGACTGGAAAGTATGAAAATGATATCTGGCTTGGATCAAATAATAGTCCTGATGAATGGCCTGTATCATATCATGGAACAAAACATGACGCAGTAAATTCAATTGCACAGGTCGGTTATGATCTAACAAAACATCAGCGTTTTGCTCATGGTCGTGGCATTTATTCAACACCAGACGTCAACGTAGCAAAAGGTTTTGCTAAATCTTTTACCAAAGATGGACAACAGTATCTTGTTATTCTTCAAAATCGTGTTAATCCAAAAAATTTAATCAAATTACTTCATGAAGACACTGGAAACGGTGAATATTGGATATCATCCGATCCTGCTGATATTAGACCATATGGAGTTTGTATAATGAAGAAGTCGTGATACACAATACACTAATTCACACATTGATATCAATTATATGTTTCAACTTTAATTTATGATTTAGATTAAAGAAAACTGTATTAAAAATTTATTGTATTATTATAAAAAAAATATCAGATTGTTGATAGCTGATGTAAAATCTTTTTTTCTGATTTAGAGTTTAATGAATTATTTTATATATCTAATATCTCACTTTCTCATAAACTCAAGCATCTAGACATTAAATCGCATACACACATGTAGAATCTTTTTTCTATAAATATGATGAAAATGAAATTGAAATGAGTCATGAAATATCACATATTATTTAACGAAAACATTAACATTGTTCTGACTTAGATATTACATGCTGTGAGAAACAATGTTTATCATAATATAAAATTAGAACATAAAGGATATATGAATTGTATGATCCATGATACTTATTAGTAATAGAAAAATATAATTGCATAAAATGAATATGTTAATTTATGTAACACGGACGGAGCTAAAGAAAAAGGTACCATTGAAATTAAAGCATTTGTTTCATTATTCCATTAAATAGATTTTTGTCAATGATATTGACGAAAATATTTTTTTTAATTGAATGTTTGTTCTAATGCATAATGAAGTACAAGGTTCACGTATTATTTCTTTCTCATTCACTAATGACTAATGTTTCCTTTTTATGGGATAGATGAATATACAATAAAATTAGCATGGCTGTTGTGAAGACGAGTAAAGAGATCTTTGATTCTCTTGAAAATATTTCTCCTATGTCGATAGACGTTTCTTATTTTTCATAATGCTGACTGAGAATTTCTTTGAATCTAATGATTACTATTTATCTACTATTTACGATAATCATCTAACTAATTTTGATAATCTTTATTATTATATTTTTGATTATGCATTCTTTCAATGTGTTTACGATTACGATGGCGCAATTTTTCACTACAATAGACAGAAAGATAAACGAGAAGATTGTTACTACATGTAATAATTCAATCTGCTCAAAAGAATTTCAAAAAATAATTATTTAAGAAGCTGAGAACCATGTGATAGGTTTGTCTTAGTTGTCTATTATCAACAAAACTTCGAATAGACTTTATGCTAAGGTTGTAATTATCACATTTTGTAGCTTCCATATATATATGTAATCGTTCACAAACTTGGAAGATTAACAACAATAACGATGCACAACGAATTCAATAACGAACAACAAAAGTGATTAGTCAAGATCAAGTCCTAAGACAAATACATTAGAGCTATCATTTGACAGAATTGGCATCAAAATTATTAAGGAAATGAAATAACTTTTAGAATAGTACTAGCGAGAGGAAAGTAAAGTCGCTTACTTGTTTCTATGAGTTATTCTTTGGCATTTTTCAACGTTCTTCTCTTTCAAAAGTTTAGAGCAGCTTTTGGTAATAGCATATTTGTAGTCGCACTTGTACGTATACCAGTAATTAACTTAATAGCACCCATATCAATATATTAAATCATCATAGTCGAGTTAAAAAGAAAGTTTTTCTTTTCAAGTCTGATTTACAATACTGAAAATTTTCTTCATCAGGATTAAATGTTAATATCAACTACTAGAGAGATATCAGTGTATATTAGAGTGTACAATATAGCAAGACCAGGATAACTGAATAAATTCCTATTTCACAGATCAATGTATCTAATTAAAGAGAAGATTACTTAAGTTATTCGACTGGCTGGAGTCTTATTCTGTTCTTGCGATTCAGTCGATAAATTATTCAAAAACTCAAACAATGTTCTACACCAGTGTCGTCAACTATCTGACTTCGATGCTGATTCTTTGATGCTAGAATCTTACAATTGAATGTGTTTCTTCATTCAAATACTTAAACTATGGTTGACTAAGAAACCACGTTAGGAAGATATGATCGGTCGAAAGTGTTTCCCAATTCGACTACAAATAACATTGATCAACTCAATCAGATATGATGAAACTTCTTCCCTGAATCTTCGATGTGCTCTTTTTTTTCACTTGGCTACCAGACATTTCTCCTATGTTTAATAATTGGCAATATTTAATGCTTAACTACTTTCAGTAGATGTCACAAAAATGTGTATATTCCTGCTCATACTAAGAGCGTGCCTTCTTCACTTTTATCTATGATGACTGATCGCTCGATGTTGTGTGCTACGCATATCAGGAAAAATATTTCAAAATTTAGGCAAGATCCTTGAATAATTATCTTCTACTGGAGTAAACGTTGATAAACATTCTAGATGAGCAACAATTCGGATACCATCTCATGGGACAACAAATTCAATCGTAAAATTTCATGAAAGAGATTTGTTATGGTTGGTCAAGTTCAAAGAAGTATTGACATTCATTATTATTCGTTCGCTCTTTGCAAGTTTTTTTTTGGCTTTACCCTCTCTCTCTATTATTTGTCTGTCATGCATTGTAACTAAGTGAACGTACCTTTAGGACCAATACGATCAGAATACAATAGTAAAAGGCTTTTAAGAAAAATAAGTCGTATATTAGTCAAGATAATACTTGTTAGTAGTTGAAATATAATAGATGTAAAAACCAGATTATTCAGAAATGGATATCCATATTTCATTAATACAAAAGATACTATTTGCTAAAATATTCAAACCCACACTTTTATAGATATGGGTAAATTAAGTCACATTGATAAAATTCTTCAGTTTTTTTCTAGCTATTATTTCAAAGAAACATCATCAATGTCTTCAAATAGACTGTGTCACATTCGCAATCATGTCTCTTTACGTCGGTCGAATTATGCCAGCGATGATAGCACCTGCCAGATTCAAAATGACACCAACGATACTGACACCAGCAGCTGCGCCTAGCTTGGCGTTGGACAAATCAATAGCAAAACTGATTCCCACTGCCATTCCTATGAGACCGAACACAAAGCATAAGCCAGCCAGACCTTTGCCAATCCAGAGAAATAATGAGTCGAATTTATTCATGATGACAACAAGTACCAGACACCCAACTGCAAAAGGTGTGATGATACAGGCTAAGGTTATGAACGCTCGAGTAGCCTTTAGCTTTGAACACACGGAGATCTTGTCATCACAGTCTGATCCTATGTTGCCGCAAACTCCAGCTCTACAAACTTGCCACAACCCCGTTTGAATAGTAACATCGTTAATTGTTAATGTACCCCTAAATCGACAGAAAGGACATAGAGAGATTCAATGATACCTAGTCAACTTTCAAAGTCCTAGTGAATTCGAACGGAATCTTTGACAATCCGTTTATATGACCGTGTCAAAAAGGGAATCTTCTCTTCTTCTCCCTATTATTCCCTTCACATGACTTCGTAGAAGACTGATGTTCAATCGAGCAAAAACCTGTAGCCGTCTAAACATGATGTTCAATTATGAAAGTTTGAGTTACAGTCTATCGATCGAACTAGCAAGATGTCTTTAGACTGGTACTAATCGGTTCTTAT